TTGCAGAGGGATGCAGCACTCTTAAAATTGCAAAGCTTCTGAAGCGTGATCATCGAACAATCAAGCGTTTCATTCAAAATAGTCAACAGGGTCGCAAGAAGCGTGTGGAAAAACCAAGGCGCAAAATAACTGCCCATGAACTGAGAAAAGTCAAGCGTGCAGCTGCCACGATGCCACTTGCCACCAGTTTGGCCATATTTCAGAGCTGCAACATCACTGGAGTGCCCAAAAGCACAAGGTGTGCAATACTCAGAGACATGGCCAAGGTAAGAAAGGCTGAAAGACGACCACCACTGAACAAGACACACAAGCTGAAACGTCAAGACTGGGCCAAGAAATATCTCAAGACTGATTTTTCTAAGGTTTTATGGACTGATGAAATGAGAGTGAGTCTTGATGGGCCAGATGGATGGGCCCGTGGCTGGATTGGTAAAGGGCAGAGAGCTCCAGTCCGACTCAGACGCCAGCAAGGTGGAGGTGGAGTACTGGTTTGGGCTGGTATCATCAAAGATGAGCTTGTGGGGCCTTTTCGGGTTGAGGATGGAGTCAAGCTCAACTCCCAGTCCTACTGCCAGTTCCTGGAAGACACCTTCTTCAAGCAGTGGTACAGGAAGAAGTCTGCATCCTTCAAGAAAAACATGATTTTCATGCAGGACAATGCTCCATCACACGCGTCCAAGTACTCCACAGCGTGGCTGGCAAGAAAGGGTATAAAAGAAGAAAATCTAATGACATGGCCTCCTTGTTCACCTGATCTGAACCCCATTGAGAACCTGTGGTCCATCATCAAATGTGAGATTTACAAGGAGGGAAAACAGTACACCTCTCTGAACAGTGTCTGGGAGGCTGTGGTTGCTGCTGCACGCAATGTTGATGGTGAACAGATCAAAACACTGACAGAATCCATGGATGGCAGGCTTTTGAGTGTCCTTGCAAAGAAAGGTGGCTATATTGGTCACTGATTTGTTTTTGTTTTGTTTTTGAATGTCAGAAATGTATATTTGTGAATGTTGAGATGTTATATTGGTTTCACTGGTAATAATAAATAATTGAAATTGGTATATATTTGTTTTTTGTTAAGTTGCCTAATAATTATGCACAGTAATAGTCACCTGCACACACAGATATCCCCCTAACATAGCTAAAACTAAAAACAAACTAAAAACTACTTCCAAAAATATTCAGCTTTGATATTAATGAGTTTTTTGGGTTCATTGAGAACATGGTTGTTGTTCAATAATAAAATTAATCCTCAAAAATACAACTTGCCTAATAATTCTGCACTCCCTGTAATATTGCCCCTACTAATAAGCATTCGGTTGGGGCTCTAATACTATTATTAAGAGGGGACAGAATTCCCATTTTATTAAATCAACAATAATTAAAGTGTGAGGGGCTTGGACTAAAACAGAACCCTGCAAGGATGGGTAAATAGTCAATCTACAGCTGGCAAAGCATCTTGGGATTTGTATGGCAGCTGAGGATCCACCTACTGGCCACCTCTGTGCTAATGTGGGAGCTTGCGTCACATATTCTTGCACTGGTGCCCTGAGGTTTCAAATTAAGCCTCTGATCAGCATTGATGATAATCCCATCAGGCGTGTGCAATCCCATTCACACAAAAAAAAAAAAACATGATTTGTTTGTTTATGCAAACTTGTATTATTAAGCAATGTATGGCACACAGCTGGCAGTCATTGATCTCCAAAGTTCAGTTATTTGCAAATGTATTTAATCAGTCAAGCTTGTTTAGCACTAACAAAGCATTAACTTTAAATCCTGGTGATTCTTTGCCATATGCTTGACATAAGCCTATGGTAAAAACTAATAATATCTTATACATAAGCATCAATTTAAACCCTTATTTGATTCACCCATATCCATTCCCTCCCTTACTTCTACTCTGGATTTGAGTTTTTAAAAGGGGATGGAGATAGTTGTGCAAGGGATCTGTTTGTGTGGACTGTTGGCGAGAGAGAGAGAGAGAGAGAGTGTGTGTGTATATTTCTTAGTATACAGTCATGGGTAAAAGAAAGTACCCTCTTTGATTTCTATGGTTTTACATATCAGGACATATTAACAATCATTTTTTTCCTTAGCAGTTCTTAAAATTAATCTCAGCTTGTTACCTATATAAAAGACACATGGGAGCCAGAAATCTTGCTAATTGATAGGGGATCAAATACTTCTTTCACTCATTGATATGCAAATCAATTTATAACTTTTATGACATGCGTTTTTTTTTCTAGAATTTTTTTTGTTATTCTGTCTCTCACTGTTAAAATACACCTACCATTAAAATTAGATTATTATCATTTCTTTGTCAGTGGGCAAACGTTCAAAATCAGCAGGGGATCAAATACTCCCCCTGAAAGGGTTAATACTGTTCTGGACTCAACTCCCCTCGATTCTCGATCCTCCGGTCACCACATCAATTGATGGGAGTTCTTGTTAGCAAATTTAAGACACACAGACACGAAAGAATGCTTAACAAGTTCTCAATGAGTATATTTTTAGGGCTAGCATTTATACACAGTTTGTCATGCAAGCAGTGAGATCTATAGTGTCCTTGTAGTTAATAGTACATACTTGTCGGACATGAAAAAGATAAGCATTTGGATAAAGACGAGACAGGAACATCCTAAGGTCAAGGAAGGTCATACATCCTGTAGACGAAAGACCTTGGTACAAAATACATCTGCCAAAGTCAGCATTATTATTTCAAACATTTTAAAGCAAGAAAGAGTTTAACTATTTCATATCCTTACAGTCAGTGCTAATGATTATAAACCTTATCTAAGCATAAAATACATATGAACAAGGAAAGTTAACTATTTCAGCTTTCATCCCCCTCTTTGAGCAATACATTGCTCATCTTATCGGTTAAAATCTTCCCAGGACAGAGACACTTCCACATTATGGTATTCCCAAGCAATCATGTGGTCTACAAGAAACAGAAACTCAGCAGGAAAAAAGACACTTAATACTTTTACAGACAGATATATAGAAAATGGATGTTTAAGACAAAATGGAACTTGGGCTTATAGCAAATATATTATTGCAAATAGCTGACATGTTAACCAATTTTAAACAGACTAACCAGCCTGTCATCTGTATCGTAAGCCCTGGGTAAATATGGGCAAAGTGTATTATTCCCAACAGTTATTTTCCTCCTTTGTCCACGGAAGTGGGCGCATGTAGTCTAAGTGGGAATAATACCTATCCCCCGTTCAAGGACCGGGGTCTAGGATTACCAGTCCACCCGATGATCTGGGGCCAGGCAAAAAACCCCAGTGGCAAAAACTCATATTTGAGGAAAAAGCACATCTGGGGAAAACCTGAGTGGGGGCCGCGATCGTGTTAGACATGTCATCCCCTCACAATTGACACCACTTGTGACTTATAATACCCGCACCTGTGAGTACATAGCTCGGGTATCGGGAGGAATTGGGAAACACTTCTTACATATTAATTCAATCTAGCTTGAAATTCTGACAATAACAACCAGGATCTTGCGTCCTTTATCTTTTAACCATTTCCCTATTCCAAAGGTCCAGTCAAAACCAGTCATATCCTCACGCAGTTTCACAAAACATGGGAATCCATCCTTGGCACACTCAACATATATCAAAAACACACATAATACATTCATCCCTGGGTCAGCTAACACTTCCTCTCTCTCTCCGGCTAACTCTACAAAAGTAAAAATAAAAATAAAAAAATAGTTCAATAGTTCAGCATAGTTCAGAAAAATAGAATAAGTTTTTCACAGAGTATAAAGAAATCAGTTTAGACACCAGACATTTTGTTCCATAAAATGGCTAGGGTAGCAATATGGCTGACAACAAGACAATGTCAGCTTCCACATAGTTCTTCTTTTGTTTGCTATATTTTCACCACAATGCTCTGTGCAACACCCCAATGGTTGAAAGGGTTATTACAGAACCAGCGGTATTAGACAGCACTGCACCTTCAGGACTTTCCAGGTTCTTGCGTGCAAAGTTTATGTCCTCATAAGTATCTCAGTTTCTTCGGCCTGCATGGATAATGACCAAACAGATGTAATTGCAAAATACTTATTGCATGGTCAGCCGGAGAGATTGATGTGTAGTCCCAGAAATCAGGCGGCACAAACACTCCAGGACGGTCTCTACAATCATACAAACACAAGGATCAATACAACATCAATTAATTAATTACCTAGGCTAAAACTTAAATTAGAGATTAAGGTTAAACCCTTAATTTGTTTAACATGTACTTCTCTTACATTTGCTTATATTTTATGCAATCTGTCTTCTATGAAGTTTTACATAATATCCCTTTGGAATGCCTTTGTATGGATGAGAGAAGCACTCACTCTATAGAAATGCTTGTCAGGATGAATATTAAAACACTAACATTCACATATACATTCCCAATAAAACTTTGTTCCTAAACTTTAACCTTGATTTGATACTCAAAATTAATTACTTTAATAATCCCAAATAATTCAATACTCTTGGATTAACACCTAAACCTATATAAAATATTAAAAACATGAACCATCTGTGTATTAGGCTGGGATTGTTGGGTGTGGGTTTTGTGGTTGGTATTGAGGAATCTGTGGGGGTGGGTTTGGGCACTCATTTATCCAGTGACCCTGCTATCCACAATTAGAACTGTGTGTTCCACCAATACTGAAGTTGCTACCGCTACAAAAGTTAGAAACTTTGACCAAATCCTCTACCTTTGCCTTTAAAACTTTTCTGATTCAATCTCCTATCACCTCCCAAATTTCTTTGTCGCGCCTGCTTAGGATCACAGTCCTTGTGACTGCTACAACATACCTTTTCCTTCTTTCTTTCTATCAAAACAACCTGCTGTATCTTTCTCATGAATCTTCCCAAGAAATTCATTTGGGGTCAAAAAGGGCCAGTCACAGACCAGCAAGGAACAAAAGTGAACAAGGAGGAAGCATATTTCATATGCAGGTCGGGATTACCGAACTCACATCCCCTCTTTGTGTACCACACAGATATAATATTAATAAGCTTTTAAAGGTTTAATGGATAGTTAAATTGTGTATAAAAAGCAAGGTTGTCTAGGGGTATACACATCAACAATGAAAGCATAGCCTTCATATAGGGCTTGCAATACTGACAGTCTGTGTCATGAGCATAATGCAGACATGCGGTTAGGTACTTTTCCATTGTTATAATATATTGAAAACACTAAGACTTTGCAAAAAAATTTAAAACACATATTGCTTCCTGTACCTGGGGCCGTGCAAGGATGTAGTTGGGATATATTTCAAATTGAGTATCAAAAGTCTAACCACAAAACTATATGTTATACACTTCTTAAGAAAACAAGTTTAACCCGTTAGTGCGTACTTTGGATAGCCTCTTTGCATAATTTGGCTCCTAGTGAGATTATTATATTATTTATTTATCCTCTTCTGGATCTGCAAAATGCTTTCACTTTACCCATACAAATATAATACAGTAATTTAGGAGATTAAGATTAACTCACTTATACATTTCCAAAATTGTCTAATCTCCAATAAAAATACCATTTTATTATTACCCCATAATCAATAAGGCATTCTAGATTAATCTTACTTTGACACAAACAATGCAATATACTTTAAAAGTAGAGTTAACTCTGAGCTGGACAATACTCCCCTATTAGAACTCCTTTATGAGGGAGAGACATCTTGTCCATTCAATCCTTTTTATCAGTAAAAGAATGACTTTCAGGATTAATCAATTTGCAAATGGAAATGTGGAGCCACGATTTGAACAGCAGAAGTTTGCGGGGCCCCTTTCACGTGGGATGTAACAAGCACTTTTCTTGCTCCAGGAGCGATAGCATACAATTGTTTCATTCTAGCCGGCTGGACAGCATTTCACCTTTTGTAAAAACACTAAATGCTTGCGTTAATGATATGCAAATCACTCTGCTAGTTAAACTCCTACACAATGGACAATAAAATACATGAAACACATGACACACCAATTCATTTCAAACCATATAACTCATACTCAGCATCCAATGTAATATTACATGTCATCTCACAAAACAGACGTAGTAGAAACACATAATGGATACCCAGCAGATATGCCAATACAGAAAACACATTCATGAGCACACAACTACACACTCTGTGTCCCTCCTAGGAAACACGGGTAGACACAATATGAAAGCAGTCTTAAACTAACACCTCCAAATCTCCATTCCCATATAGCTATATCAGACCACAACATAGAGCCTCTCTGAGCTCATAGAACTACTCCAACTCCAACTACTCTTGGCCAAACCGCTAGTATTCAACAGCTAATAAAACAGTTATTTGCTAGGTTATTTGGCTGGCATTTGTATCAGTATCACTAGACTGAAACAAACTGATTCAAATATAATTTAAAACAACACAGCAACATATAAATTAAACCACTTTCCAGTTAAGCTGCACACTTCACACATTATCACAATCACCATTTACACAGAATAAACAGTTAACAGCTGTACTCAGAACATATTATTGTAAGGTATACCAATTTTAGTTTGTATTAGATTTATTTTAGGAATTCTTATGCATACATGTTTGTTTTTTTTTTCTAATTAACGTCATTACTTTAATCTACTACAGTATTGTATATAAAGAAAGGATCCATTTATATAGCGCGCTCATAACTCAAATATTTGTCTGAAACGTCCATTAACTAATCTGAGATGATGCTGCATCAATTTTAAATCTTACAGAAATTTTGCAAACATCTGGACCAGATTGCACAGACATGGTTTCACCCGAATCTTTCAGAACTCTCAGAGACTTAAAAAATGTATACTATACCATGTTCTAAGGCATGGCAAACCTTTAGACCGGTCAGTCTCCAAGAGCCTTTGTAACACAGGTAAAAACCTTTGTCCATAATGTCTGATCCAGGCTATATACCACAATTCACAAAGAACACATATAATGTGAGACATAGAAGACACAAAACATATGCAGTAGCTGAATCATTTAAAGCATCTGTAGCAATAAAAAAGGTTAGCTTTCAGCACAAAATGAAGCATGTGTTGGACCGCTGAAAATGTAAATGTTGCTCTCTTATTTACAAACAAAAATCATATTAACAGTATGGATCCTTTGCAACAAACACACAGGGCATGGAAGATGTGCTGATTGGTGTTCTATGCAATTAATCCCATACGGGGAATTAACTTTCAAATACTAATGAAGTGACTTTTTGTCTCAGTTATAAAAATACTGAGCTTATCATGCAAACAATGTAACACATTTACACTATCCCACTCTCATAGAAAGTGTAGTGGGCTTATGGTATTAAAGTAACAATCATACCAGGCACACAGATCCCATGTGAAATAACTTGCAATAAAACAGAGTAATAAACTATACTTCTATGCGACATAAAGAATAAAGCAAAAGATTTTAAGTAGGTCTATCAGGTACAACCTGCGAGTCAGTTCTTTTCTAATATACAGTACTGGTATCTTATATATATGTATATATATATTGGTCACTCAGGACCAGAACTTACATTTCCCATACTGCTGAGGGCAGACACACTACTAACTTACCAAAGTGTGTCCCCAATATAGACAATCACCCACAAAGAACACTTAAGACAAACAAAGGTGACCGGGAGAAAGAGAAGTTTGGGGTATACTTATAGATCTATAAACCGTGCTCCTCAGAACACCTATAGTCTTAATAAACCGGAGACCTCTTATGGTCTCAAAACCTGTATCTACCTGAGATACCCTGTATCTATCTTAGATACTAACCTGGGTTACCAAAACCCTATAATAAACCGGAGACCTCCCCAAAGGGGGTCATAGACAATTAGCGTCAATAAGACACAAAAAGGCTACTCACCGCAAATGGTCCTGCTGTATCCCACTTCTAACACCAAGCTGAAAGGGTTAATGCTGTTCTGGACTCAACTCCCCTCGATTCTCGATCCTCCGGTCACCACATCAATTGATGGGAGTTCTTGTTAGCAAATTTAAGACACACAGACACGAAAGAATGCTTAACAAGTTCTCAATGAGTATATTTTCAGGGCTAGCATTTATACACAGTTTGTCATGCAAGCAGTGAGATCTATAGTGTCCTTGTAGTTAATAGTACATACTTGTCGGACATGAAAAAGATAAGCATTTGGATAAAGACGAGACAGGAACGTCCTAAGGTCAAGGAAGGTCATACATCCTGTAGACGAAAGACCTTGGTACAAAATACATCTGCCAAAGTCAGCATTATTATTTCAAACATTTTAAAGCAAGAAAGAGTTTAACTATTTCATATCCTTACAGTCAGTACTAATGATTATAAACCTTATCTAAGCATAAAATACATATGAACAAGGAAAGTTAACTATTTCAGCTTTCACCCCCCTCACGGTATATTTTACGGGAAGCCAATGCAGGGACTGACAGAGGGGTGAGGCTTTGGAGGTGTCGGTGGACAGAAAGATGAGCCTTGCTGCCACATTCATTAGAGACTGCAATGTGGCAAGTTGGGAGCACGTAAGAGCACTGAGAAGCGAATTGCAGTAGTCAAAGCGAGAGAGGACAGTGGCATTTACAGCACCTTAGCCGCATCTGATGTTAAGTAGTGGCGGATGCGCGCAATGTTTGAGATTGAAGTGGCAGGATTTGGCGATCGACTGGACATGAGGGGTGAAGGAGAGATCAGAGTCAAAGTTCTTTGGAATTTTCCTATACTGTGTAAAATGACACCGAGCACTCTGATTCGATGGATTTCAAGCCACCCGATCATAGTGCTCTGTGTCATTTTACACAGCGTGGGAAAGTTCTAAAGAATTTTCCCACGCTGTGTAAAATGACAAAGAGCACTCTGATTGGCTTAAACCAACCAATCAGAGTGTTCTTAGCCTAATTGCAGGGCGGAACAAGGCTTTATAAGCCTTACCCCGCCCTGTGGAGCTCAGTCTGCGCCGTGCCCTCCATGGGTGAAGATGGAGCCCTGCGGAGCTCAGTCTGCGCCGCGCCCTCCATGGGTGAAGATGGATTAAAATAATTTTGCGTCGTTTTTTTCTTTTTCGTCTGGGTTTTTTATTTTGCGCTCGGGTTTTTTATTTTATTTTAAGTTCAACGGTTATGATGATTTTTTTATTTGGCCTTTTTGGGGGCTGAAAAATTAAAATTTTAGAAGAAAGAAGACATCAAATGGTTTTCTTTTTCTTTTCAGGTTAAAAGGGATACCTTTTTATTTGGGTGGGGGGGTGACTAGGGGCTTGGGGACCCCTAGTCACCTTAATTGGGGGGGATTTTCATTTAGGGGGCTGGGGGGAGGACAGTAGGTCCCACGGGGTGGGGGCTGAGGGGAGGACAGTAGGTCCCCCCCACATTCTTATTTAGGGCCCCCACACGCCTCACAGGGGTGGGGGTCAGGGGGAGGATAGTAGGTCCTCCCCCACATTCACATTTAGGGCCCCCACCCACTGCTCAAGGGTGGGGACCGGGGGGGGGGCTTTAGGTCCCCCCTTCAATTTAATGTGTTTTGTCTTTTTTTAACAGTGAGCAGCCACTAGCTGCTCACTGTTTACTAGACATGCCCCTACTCGCGGTATAGCGAGTAGGGGCTGAATTTACTAATACTAAGTAATCTTTACTTAGTATTAGTAAATGGGGCTGAAAGACCAATTTAGGTCTTTCAGCCTTTTGGTAGATAGCTCCCTGATACCGTGGGAATTAGGGAGTTATCTACTAAGCGGCTGCAAGATGCAGCCTCGGCAATGAATAGGATCAGAGTTTCATTAATTCAAATGAAATTCCGATACGAACAAAGTCCCAAATTGCGTCCTAACACGAATGGAGAAACTGTTCTCATTCTGTTAGGACGCAATTCGGCAGTTTTGCCGACGTTCTGTCTAAGGGACAGGAAGCATCGCAGGAACAGGAAGGAAAGCTAAGGATTATGAGAAAATTGCTCTGACCACTGGAAACGAAGCACACTTTGCTCCTCCGCTGGTCATGGCGTAGGAAACCTCCAGAAGAGAAATAGTCCCTACTTTGTCTTAATTTTTAAAGAAAACTAGAGCAGACAGGAAGAAAGGAAGAACAGATCCTGAAAGAGGGAGAGAAGAGGAATCGATTGGGGAAAGGTAAGTTCGGCATGACAGTGCTGCTTTAAGGGAGAAAAGGCCAGAAGTTCTGTTTTGGACAAGTTGAGCTTAAGGAAGTGGGGAGCCATCCAGTTAGAAATAGCAGAGAGGCAGTCACAGACACTAGTTCAATAGCTGGTAGAATCACCTTTAACGTAAACTATAATTTTAATATTAGGGAACTACAACATCTGCTGAACAACATACATGTCATTCTACATTGTGTCATTATTTAACAAAAATAAAAAGTACATCCTTACTGCTTCCATAATTAAGAGGCTAAGTAGCAGACAGGTGCTGGATATCAAATGCCCTTGATTAATTGATCATCAGCAAGTGTGACCATCTCTTTAAAAGCTGAAGTTTTAGCAGTTTGCTGGTCTGGAGCATTCAGGTGTGTGTTAACACAATGCCAAGGAGGAAAGACATCAGTAATAATCTTCTAGAAGAAAATGTTGCTGCCCATAAAACTGGGAAGGGTTAAAAGGCCATTTCAAAAATGTTTAAAGTCCATCATTTTACAGTGAGAAAGATTATTGAAAGGTGGAAACATTCAAGACAGTTACCCATCTTCCCAGGAATGGACAAGCTAACATAATTATCCCAATGTCAAACTGTACAATTTTCAGAGAAATTGCCAATAAAAAAACAAGAGTTACATCTCTAGAGGCCTCAGCATCATAAACGTTAAAGTTCATGACAGTACAATTAGAAAAAGACTGAACACGTTTGGTTTGCTTGGAAGATTTGCAGGAGTAAACCTCTTCTCTCTAAAAAGAACATTACAGCACAGCTTAGTCTTGCAAAGTTGCATCTGAACAAACCACAAGACTTTTTGAACAATGTCCTTTGGACAGATGAGATTAAAGTGGAGATGTTTGGCCGTAATGATCCCAAGCATACCAGCAAATCTACAACAGAAAGGCTGAAAGAAAAGAATCAAGGTGTTGCAATGGTCCAGTCAAAGTCCAGACCTCAACCCGACTGAAATGCTGTGGTGGAACCTTAAAGGACCACTATAGTGCCAGGAAAACATACTCGTTTTCCTGGCACTATAGTGCCCTGAGGGTGCCCCCACCCTCAGGGACCCCCTCCTGCCCGGCTCTGGAAAGGGGTAAAAACTTACCTTTTTCCAGCGCTGGGCGGAGAGCTCTCCTCCTTCTCTCCTCCTCCGTTCTGTGCGCATTCAGCCGGTCGCTTTCCTATGGACGCTGGCATGCTCTCACTGTGAAAATCACAGTGAGAAGCACACAAGCGCCTCTAGTGGCTGTCAATGAGACAGCCACTAGAGGCTTTGGGGGAAGGCTTAACCTATTAATAAACATAGCAGTTTCTTTCAAACTGCTATGTTTATTAAAAAATGGGTTAACCCTAGCTGGACCTGGCACCCAGACCACTTCATTAAGCTGAAGTGGTCTGGGTGCCTAGAGTGGTCCTGT